GGGTCCTTTCCTTTTGCCTATCACGATAAGCAGGGGGCCAGCGCATGACATCATGACGCTGGCCAACGAAGCTAGTGATGTCATGGGATGCGGTCAGAGACGTCTGACCGTGTACCTGCAAAGAAACTGTTGATCACGCTGTCCAATTTGGCTTTTTTGGTTCCATGGTCCTTCATGCTACCGCCCCCCAAACCCTTTTCCCACCGCAGACTTGCAGCCGCGCTGAGTGTCTGATCGTTTTTCGAGTGCAGTTGCAAACAAGGTTAAACCATACTGTTCTCGCTGACTTTTTCACCTTGCGGTTCACCACCTTCCTTCCACCTGGGAACTGAACTAACTGAAAACCAATGTCAGAGTGTGTCATCTGGCGCTTGGAGTGCGAATTCAATCATACAAAATGCTGGCTATTGAATCAGGCCAGCGTTGGGTTGATTCTTGCAGTCATTTGGCCATAGTGAGGGCATCAGGGCCAACATATCGGGCAATAACTTCTATCAAACGCAAAAGGTATCGTCCAGATGTGCTCTTTGAGCTTGTCCTTGACCAACTGTGACAATGAGGGACACCCAAACTGATCATGCCCTGAATCATCCTCTGCATGCTGTGCTGCGGGTTGTGCTGCACTGCAGCTCAACATCAAGTGAGTTCATCCTAGAAAACAACCATGAACATCCGTGAACATGGAAAAAGACTCTGCTTTGGAGCCGACATGCCTTTGCAGGCTCGGATAGGCTCTGTTCCCCGTGCCTGTTTCACGTTGCCTTGGAGACGAATCACCAGGTTCAGCGGCAACACCAGGGCCACGATCGAGGGTACATCCGCCATGCGGAAATAGCCTCAGCAGCGCATGAGTCAAAAAATGCACAACTTACTTACTCACCTTGCAGAAGCAGGCAGCTGTCGGACCGCACACTAAGCCCAGCAGCAACCACAGCTGTCCACTGGCACTGGGCTGAAGAAGAGCTCCTGGAGGCAACCCCATGGCCCGCAAATTCAAAAAACGGTGATTCGCGTGCATGCAAGGAGGTCCGGATGAACCATCCATGTGGCCATGCAATCAGTAGCAACACCCTCGGTCGACATGAACACGGCTGACGCGAGAAAAAAAAAGAGTCACCATGGCGCCAGAGGCCCACATGAGGGCAGAGGCCGCCATCACTGCCAAGCAAAGGGTGGCGAGGATTTGAAGCATCACAGCCTTGGCGCAGAGCCCTAAGGCTCCACAAAGGCGGCTTTGGATGGCCATGGGGGGTCCCCTGGTTACCAAAATGCCCACCAAACAAGAAAAAAACCCACAAAAAAGAAGAGGAAAGGGAAGTTGGTGGATGTATTCCTACCAACATCGACATGTTTTTTGGGAGTCGAATAGTTTATGTTCAAATGTTCAATTGTTTTTGATCCGTGAGCACGCTAGTTCTGTCTGAACAGTGGACTGGCGTGGCTTGTGCAAACCAACCACTGGCTCGTTCCGCGCCGCTCGAGCGGCACCACGCGCCGCTAAACCCCCTCCAAGCCACATCGTTGGGGCCCAAGCACCGGGCTTGCAATCCGACGTCATGCATCAAGTTCAAGACCTTAGAACTTCTCAATCCCACCACACAGAATCACACAGTCACCGTGCGCACATGGTGCGCACAAGTCGCTTAGCAAGTACGTAGCGTGACGGCGACACCCTCAGTTGACTGCGAACAAGCCGTGGATTGATGGGCAACCGCAGGTAGGACGCAATCTTTGAAGGAAGGACATGCATGCAACTGGAAAGATCTCTCCTCCATAGAACATGTTCCACCTTCAGTTACAGTATTCTAACGTGCCATATCTTCAGTACATCCATCGAATCGGGCGCTTTTACTTGATTCCACCGATTCCACTGCAGCACAGGGCGCTGAATAGACACCGATCGACACCACGAAGCTCGTCTTGGACTTGGAGCCACTCAACCGATCTTCCACCATCCGCCGTACGCGGCGCTCTTCACATACCGACGCACTGGCAGGCAACGCGGCAGAAGAGCGGCAGTGGTTCCGGAAAGTGAAAAGAATCCTCTAGTTAGCTGGATCATATAATATTTTAAAAAATTGTACAGCTGTGTGAGTGATATATATATATATTATGTATATATATATATATAGTCATTTACATAGTTATATAACTAGCTATAATTGACATTCCATGGGCCGTGGGATTGGGTGGTTCACGCATGGCCAGTGCTATCCAAGTCGGTCCAAGTTCCAAAGTAACAATTTGAACCTCTAAATCCTCTAAGCATACCAGCCGACTCCAAAGGAGCTACCACAAGCCAAAGACTGACTCGTAGCAAGCTGTCCAAAAAATAAATCAAACAAAATAGTTCAAAACCTTCTCCCAAGCATGCACAAGTAAGCACATCGCAATCAGCATTCACGAAAACATATTGCACATTGAAGCACACACACACACACACACCAACGTGTGGCCTCCTCGTCCACAGCCCTCTTGCTGGGTTAAGTCCTTGTTTGATGTCCCTCGCTTTGGAGAGACAGCATCACCTTCGGCGCCCTATCTTATCCTGTCTTTCAGAAAATTTGGCGCCCTGCCTGCAGGACGCCGTCAGCAACTCGCAGTTGAGGCCCCCAAAGTCTTGACAAGTGTCTTTCAGCTGCTGATGATCCTGCGCCACGAGGAACTTTCGACCCAACATCGAATTTGATGACTTGAGCTGGGGGTCACCCGACCTCAGATGCCCAAAAATAACGGCAGGCAATAATGCAATGGCTTTGAGCATAGGTGTGACACATCCACAGGAAGGTAGGAAGGTATTGAATGCGATTCAGGGAGCTTCCGTTTGCGACTTGGTTGGTTCTCTGACTCTCTTCTCTGTCCCTCTCTCTCTCTCTCTCTTTCTCTCTCTCTCTCTCTCTTTGGGCTTTGAACTTCTACACTTGTGGCCCAGAGGGGGGTGGCGAAAGCTAGGGAAAGAAACAACGGTGGGCTCTTTAGGCAGCAAAAGCCTGGCCGGGAATCGCAACATGCCATGGCCAAGGGAAAAGGAGAGTGCCAACAGCGCCCCCCCCAATACGACCCCAACACAGCCAACACATGGCAACACACAACCACCCCAGCAACCGCAGCAGCCACAACAACAATAACTGTATCCAGCAGCGGCAGCGGCAGCAAGCAGAGCAGAAGCAGCAGCAGGAGTAGCTAGCAAGCAGCAGCACCAGCTACCAAGCAGCAGCAGCAGCAAAAGAGTGAGCTTTCCTTAGGGTCTTTCGTGCCCCAACATTTGGTCTCGAACAATAGCACATATAGGTGCTGCCTGAGTAATTGTAGAAGGGCGACGTGGAAAGACAGATATATCTGATATTTGTTTTTCCACGAATAAATGCTGACGATGCAGCCAGCAGCGGTGTGCATGATTGAC